AGCAGGTGGAGTTTAATAAAGATTAAGAGATTTTTTTTTTCTTCCTTTTTTCCGTAAGGATCTTGGGGAATAGTTCAAAAGACGTACCAGACAAGCTTTCCCTTAGCGTCCCGTTAGGAACGAATTCGTAAACTAGCATCTGTTCCCCTTGATCAAAGCAAAACCCTACGAGCCCCACTAGGTTTTTGTGATGAACCCTGGAGAGCAACTCGATTTCAGTCTTAAACTCGAGACCTCCCTGCATGGATCCTTGCTGTGATCGTTTGATGGCGACCATTTGTCCATTCGCAACCATACCTCGATAGACCTGCAGAGGAAGTAACGGGGTCACAAAGTGGCATGGCGTGTCTTCTTTATGGAAACGTTAGACAGGATTTTCCAGATTAATTGTCACCTTCCCGTACCCTCCGGAACCGATTTCATTTGTCCCTGAGAAATTGTTAGTACACTTCTTGAGCTCGGCGAAAGAAAACCATCTTGCTCCTTTCAATTGCGGCGCACCGCCGCTGTCATTGCCACTGGGTGCCCACGATGCTGAAACAAAGCTAAAAAATTTCAGCAAATATATAGATCACCTTCATGCTTTTTTATACGAACGCATGTCGAAGAAAATGTTGCTTCTGAAGCGCATATTTCAGTTACCAAATGGTCTGCTTAGTTCCATGGCCTTTTGAGCCCGTTTCTTCTGTTGGAAGGCGTAGATCCCCACGCCCACTAGGCAGGCGATGAGGAGAACTGAACCGGCTACTATTCCGGCTACCACGCCAGGGCCAATTGAAGACGATCCGCCGCCACCAATTTCTGAAAGACAAGTTCATTAAGTATTATATAAATATGAAATTACTTTGAATTCAGTTGATTCATAAGGCATGGAGACCTTGGAAGGGGTATGGCGATCCAATGAAGTAGTACGGTCCAAACAGTTTTGGTGGTTTATAGGTTTGGTTGCTCAGCTCGAACCCAATTCTTAGGATCTCTGATCGGTTGAAGTATATTCCGTCAGATGGAAACAGCCTGAGATGCAGCTGGATATAAGAATCACTATTGAGCATGAGATTCTGGAGGGATACCGAGCCAGGAGTTAAGTCAAGTTTCTCCCACAAGCTCCTTTCGAGTGATTGAAATACTGTGCTGTTTGTCAAATCCCCAAAACTCGGTCCCCTGAAGACCATTAGCCCTTCGTAGGGATAAGCACAAATGCAGCTCTGCGGGTTGATACTCTGGCCCGATGGACATGATAGGGGCCCACACTTGGCAGTACTGGTTGAATAAACAGCTGATAACTGGCTCTGAAGGTGGCAATATTGAACCAGAGTTTGGCATACTGGATTCCCGACAAGTCTGCACTTGTGAAGTTAGAGGAAATGTCACGGGGAGAACAAAATTAGACATGAATATTATTAGCAAGAAGGTCAAGTGGTATTTCTTGAGGTCTTACATTAGAGTTTTGTTGTATTTTCCTGTCACGGTGACCGACGCAAGATCATTATATTGGAAGTCCACTAGCTGCAATTGGTCGCTGAAGCTATTGCCAAACGATAATGTACCATTGAAAGAATTGTTTCTTAGTATCCTGCCAAAAAATTTCGGAAGACTGGTTAGAGTTCTTGCTGTATTTCTTTGTCGGGTGATAATTTTTTGATATCACACTCACACTTGCGCTATCCCAGGAAGGCCGAAGAGCTCTTCTGGTACTTTTCCTTGAAGATTTGCGGATTCCATTATTCTGGATGATAAACAAAACAATAAGGTTATTACTGTGATGACGGTTTAAAACTTTTTAATGATGTTTGTTGGTTAGCAAGTTAAAGTAGATGCACTGTAACATACAATGTTGTGAGGGATTCTAGTTTCGAGAACCAGGCCGGAGCTTCTGAAGCGTCAAAAGTATTGTTGCTCAAATCCCTGAAGATCATATTTTAAAGGTATTTTACCTACATAGATCATATATAAAATCGGATTCTGAAAGAAGATCGGTGTCGTAGTGAGCTCTTACACATTGCTCAAGGAAGCCATCCCAGTTAAATCTGGAAGTGCTCCGGTAAGCTTGTTGTTTGCCAAATTTCTGTTACAGAGTTGGAAAAAGGCAAGTATGTTTAGTCGATGGCTTCCCTATCCTAGTTTCTGTCTTCTATTTTACAGGTTGTTCGGTTATGGGACACTTACAGATCAGTGACTTTGGTGAGATTATTGAGATTCGTCGGTACTTCACCATCTAGAGAATTCTTATCAAGCCGACTGTTAGAGAGAAGAAAAACATAATGAGAAAACAGTTCTGAGAGGAAGAATAATAAGATTCAACGAAAAATTTCTCAGTACAAGGCACTCACATAACCTCGAGAGCTTGCACAGACCCTAGGGAGATCGGTATCGGCCCAGAAAACTTGTTGCCATCAAGTAGTCTGCCAAAAGACATAATATGTGCTCAGTGCCAAACTAAGACAAGGAAACTTGTTAAACTTGCTGGTAGCTGCTTACAAGTGTATCAACGACATATCAGGGCTGAGGAGCTCTTCTGGAATTTGACCTGATAACTGGTTCTTGTTAAAGTGACTGCCGAAGAGCCAGAAAAAAAAAAACAAAAAACAAAAAACAAAAACAAAACAAACAAACGCGTGAGTGTGATATCCAAATAATGTTCTTTATGTTGTTTGAGAAGAGACTATTGATGCTAAGAGCCTCACAAATGCTTTGTGTGCTTAAGCTGATCTAAACCCGGTGCTTTCTTATCGGAGATAGGAAGAGGTCCCGTCAGCTGATTGTCCGCGAGATCCAGCCAGTAGAGACTGGAGAGCTTTCCAAGAGAACCTGGTATCTTTCCACTGAACTTGTTCGAGTTCAGCGCTCTTGAGGGAAGAAAAAGGCACGAAGGTTTCAGGTCGCTGTGCTACGTACTAAATCGATTCGTGAAATTTGAAAAGGCTTAAATTAGTTCGTTACATGTATGAAAGTAGGGGTAGATTGCCTAATTCATCTGGGATGGGTCCGGTGAAGCTGCAACCAGCCAAGATCCTGAAAAGTGAAAAAAAAGAAAAAAATCACAAGAAGAACCTCACGAGTCCAATTGCTCCTGTTATTAATCAAGAAATTC